ACTAGCTGGGACCATTTTTCCCCTTGCTGGAGTCCAGTCCACCTGGGGTCGGCTGACATCTCCGAGATGCCAGTCCGCTGGAAAGCAGGTGATAACCCCAGGTGCCAGGTCCAGGTTGACCGTGGCCCCCCACCAGCTGGGCGGCTTCTGAGGGCAAGGGTGTCTGCCTGCTTGGGCTTCTGTGTTCGGGCTTAGAAACCCCTCAGATGAAGGGCTCTAAATGGGTGGGAAGGCGGGGCTGAGGGGGCGGCCACTCATTTGTGGCCATCAGGCAGACCCTGCTTGGGGGAGGTTCTGCAAGGGCCAGGGTCCTGATATATTTGGTGACAGAAAAGGTGGGAATTCCAATCCCGCCCACCGAGAACCACAGAACCCTGCTGCCTCTGTAAAGCGGGGTGGGGCCCGTCTACCTTGCAGGGAGCTGGGAGGAGAAAATGCACCCTGGGTGAGAGCCTGGGGAAGCATCCTTCATTTGGGTCCAGGCTCAGATGCCACCTTCTTGGAGGGGCCTTGCTGCGGAGGTCGCTGTTTAGCACATCCCCTGGCTCCGTTTCCTGTAAGACTTGGACCTATCTAAAATTATTTGTCCCAGTATCCCTTTCCTACTTACAGCGGCTCCATCTCCCGCATGGCTGCGTGCTCCAGAGTATCTGGGGAATGACTGGGCCCTCCCCTCCAACAGGCCTAATTCAGTCCCCCATGCCATGCAGGACCAGGGCACACAAGAATGGTGAAGTCCTGGGGCAGCTGTCACCGTGGCCTCCGCAGGTTCAGTGTCAGGAGACCCAGTTTCTGACCTGGTTCCACTGCTCAGCTTTGAGGTCAGGGCCTAGAGGGATGGTGCCACGTTGGAGATGGGCCTCCAGGGACGGTGCCACGTTGGAGACGGGGTTCCAGGGATGGTGCCACGTTAGAGACAGGCAAGTCTGGGCCAAAGGAGGAGGGCCCAGGGTGGCCAGGGCAGGGCCCAGTGAGGTGCTGCTCTGAGGAGGTGGAGAGTGGGCACTTGGGCAGGGGACACTTGGAGAGTAAGGATGAGGCCCATCTGGGTACCTGTGTATAGGGAGTGTTGACGAAAAAAAGCACAACACTGTAAAATATTTGAAGAGATTTATTCCGAGCAAATGTGAGGACTGTGACCTGGGAAACCGCCTCAGCAGGTCCTGAGAATATGTGAGCAAGGTGGGTGGGTAACAACTTGGTTTTATACTTTTTTTTTTTTTAATTTTCAATTTTTTCTGTAGAGGCAGGGTCTCGTCATGTTGCCCAGGCTGATCTCAAGCTCTTCGGCCCAAGCGATGCTCCCACCTTGGCCCCCGAATATGCTGGGATTATAAGCAACAGTCACCATGCCCGGCCTGGTTTTACAGATTTTACAGAGACAGATGTTACAGTCCAAAACCATAAATCGACACATGTGAGGTATACACTGGATCAGCCTGGAAACAGGGTTGGCAGGGGCGGCTTCCAGGTCATAGGGGTTCAAAGATTTCCTGATTGGCAAGTGGTTAAGTTTTGCCTAAAGAGTTGAAGTGGGATTACTCACGCCTGTAATCCCAGCACTTTGGAAGGCTGAGGCAGGCAGATTACCTGAGGTCAGGAGCTTGAAACCAGCCTGGCCAACATAGTGAAACGCCATCTCTACTAAAAATACTATATATATATATATATATATATGTTAGCCAGGCGTGGTAGCATACGCCTGTAATCCCAGTTACTCGGGAGGCTGAGGCAGGAGAATCGCTTGAACCCAGGAGACACAGGTTGCAGTGAGCCGAGAACACGCCACTGCACTCCAGCCTGGGCCACAGAGCCAGACTGTGTCTCAAAAACAAAAAAAAACAAAAAAAAACAAAGAGCTGATGTGAGTGGCCAAAAAGTGCCCGACCTCCTAGGGAAGGAGCTTCTCTAGAAAATGTGAATTTCGCCCCCTCAAGAGACAGCTGTACAGGGCCATATCAAAACCTGTGAAAGGAATATATTTTGGGATGGAATACTTTGCCTGCCTTCGGGCCAGATGTCTGCCACGTGAGGCTGTGCCAGGGTGAGGTTGGAATTCGGGATCTGGAGGCTACAGAGCCATCGGTGAGGCCTGAGTCTAAGCACAGCGCTCAGAGGGAGAGGGCGGAGCAGGTCCGACCCCCTTTGCCGCAGGGCCTGAGCTGGTTTTCCAGGCTTCTCTGGAAGCCCTGAGGAGGAGCGGAGGGTCCATTCGGTGGGCTGGGGACTTTGAATTTAAGCTTGGTGTGCAAGAGGCTTCCAGGCAGGAGGTCTGGGAGCGTCTCGGAGGGGGCGACGGGGCGCCGGGAGGAGCAGGTGCAGGAGCCCAGGGCGCAGCGCCCCGCGTAGG